AGTTTGGTAATAACTTGCATTTTATCTCCACATTTGCTAAGCCAGCAAAAATCAGAGTTCTGAACGATTGATTTGAAACTTTCAATATCTTTCGAGCTTGTTGTCTTGTAAAAACTGCGTTCGTTTATTTTTAGTTATTAGGCAACAAGTTTTCATGCAAAATTATCGGTAATTTTGAAGCACTTGTGCAATTACCCCCGATAATTGGTACATGGGAAATACTATTCACTTTAAGAAGCACATTCATTGCTAAAGCTTAGTGTGCATAATTAGAAAAATCATAAATCCTGCCAGCCTGTTGGTAAAAATAAAATAAACATTCCAGGTACTTTCCCATGGACTCAGGAAGGATGGAACTGTGCTGACAAACGAGGCGTTCTTCGACACGTTGCGAGTGCAGCCGCAGCTGGACATTGAGGACGTGAAGACCCGATGTGAAGAAAAGGAGATCAATCTGCGCTACTACGAAGACGGGGCTGTGGGAGTCGCTCTGGACGAAACCGTCCAACCTGCAGACATTGACGACATTTTCCACGTGCTGGGAAGCTCGCAAAACTTCGCCAGCCTGGTCGAAGACCCGCAGGTCCGGACCCAAGCAATCTACCGCAGCGACTTCAAGCGAACCTCCCCCTTTCTCACTCACCCAGTCTTCAACTCGCATCATTCAGAAACCCGCATAGTGCGATACATGAAAGTCCTGGAAAACAAGGACATTTCCCTGGTGCATTCCATGATCCCCCTAGGGTCTTGCACCATGAAGCTGAACTCCACCACTGAAATGATGCCGTGTTCCTTCAAGCATTTCACGGATATTCATCCATTTGCGCCCCTGAACCAATCACTAGGGTATCACCAGCTGTTTGCCGAGCTGGAGAAAGACCTGTGCGCCATAACAGGGTACGACAAGATCAGCTTCCAGCCCAACAGCGGCGCGCAAGGAGAATATGCGGGGTTGAGGGCCATCCAGTGCTACCACGAGGCAAGAGGAGACAAAAGGAGGGACGTGTGTTTGATTCCAGTCAGCGCCCACGGGACTAATCCAGCTAGCGCCCAGATGGCTGGCATGCGAGTGGAACCAGTGAAGGTGAAACACGATGGGACAATTGATGTGGAGGATCTTCGGGCTAAAGCTGAAAAGTTCCGAACCCGCCTGTCCTGCCTCATGATTACCTATCCGTCCACCAATGGGGTGTTCGAGGACACGGTGGCGGAGGTTTGCGAAATAACGCACAAGAATGGAGGGCAGGTTTACCTGGATGGGGCCAACATGAACGCCCAAGTGGGGCTTTGTAGGCCTGGCGACTACGGCAGCGACGTTTCCCACTTGAACCTGCACAAAACGTTCTGCATTCCGCATGGGGGCGGCGGGCCTGGAATGGGGCCCATTGGGGTCAAGTCGCATTTAGCCTCCTTCCTCCCAGGCCATCCAGTGGTCAATCCTTTGGGGGCCAACTCACTCTCCTATGAGGTTGTGAGTGCCGCCCCGTTTGGCTCTAGCGCGATTTTGCCAATTTCGTGGGCCTACATAAAAATGATGGGCTCTAGAGGACTGAGAAGGGCCACGCAGGTGGCCATTTTGAACGCTAACTATATGGCCAAAGTCCTGGAGCCCTACTATCCAACGCTGTTCAAAAGCGCCACTTCGCAACTAGTGGCGCATGAATTTATCATTGATATTCGAGAGTTTAAAAAGTCGGCCAACATCGAAGCTGCTGATGTAGCCAAGAGACTGATGGATTATAGCTTCCATGCCCCGACCATGTCTTGGCCAGTGCCCGGGACTTTGATGATAGAACCCACAGAATCCGAAGACAAACAGGAGCTGGACCGGTTTTGTGAGGCGCTGATTTCCATCCGGCAGGAAATCAAAGACATTGAAGAGGGCAAGATGGACATTCGAGTGAATCCTCTGAAGATGGCTCCTCACACGCAGGAGCAAGTGATCAGCAGCATTTGGGAAAGGCCCTATACGAGGGAACAGGCGGCGTTTCCAGCCCCTTTTGTCAAGCCCGAACTGAAGGTTTGGCCTACAGTGGCGAGGATCGATGATATTTATGGGGATAAGCACTTGGTGTGCACGTGTCCGCCCATTTTGGATCAGTACAATTATTAATTGGGGTTTTTTGTGCATTTCTATGGACAGTTTTCAATGTTTAATGTTGAAAATACAAGTACAAGTATATAAACAGTTTTTTTTAAGAATTGCACATAGCTACATCCTTCATTAGTTCTTCGATTTTTTTCTTTCGGGTGCTAAAATTATCAGTAACCGTCTTTAAAAATTCTGATGTAAAAATCAAAAAAACGCACAAAAACACTATAAAGTTTGAAAATTGACCATGATGGTACCAACGTCTCCCATCAAACTAAATTTAAATCGCCTTGAAAACAGGGCTTCTGTTATCGATTACGGAAACCCCTAGTTAGATACCTAAACTGACAGATTAGAAACCGTCTATAGAAAAGTATGATGAGAACAAGGCAAACTGCGCAAAAACTCTCCATAGTTTGAAAATTAAGTATGATTGTACTAATGCCTGTAATCGAAACAAATTGGAACAGCATCAAAAACAGAGTTTCTGCTATTGAATGCTAAAAGCCCCACTTAAATATCTCAACTGGGTGCTTATAAATGTTCTTTTGAGTAGAATGAAGTAAAAATGAAAATCCGTGCCAAAACACTCCACAGTTTAAAAATGATGTACCAATCATTATTTTTTGGAACCAAGTTAAGTCTTCATCAAGAGCAATCTACTGGTAAAAGCTTGGGATAAATATCTAATCTGAATGCTTAGAAACGGTCTTTAGAGGAGAGCAATGAAAAAAGGAAAAACCGCGCAAAAGCACTATAAAGTTTTAAAATTCACTATGATGGTACCAACGTCTCCACTGGAACCGAATTTAAATCGCATTGAAAACAGGGCTTCTGCTATCGACTCCGAAACCCCCTAGTTACATACTTAAACTGAGAGATTAGAAACCGTCTATAGAAAAGTATGATGTGAGCAAGGCAAACTGCGCAAAAACTCTCCATAGTTTGAAAATTTAGTATGATGGTACTAATGCCGGTAATCTAAATAAATTGCAGCATCAAAAACAGAGTTTCTGCTATTGAATGCTAAAAGCCCCCCTTAAATATCTCAACTGGGTGCTTATAAATGTTCTTTTGAGTAGAATGAAGTAAAAATGAAAATCCGTGCCAAAACACTCCACAGTTTAAAA